GCCCGCAACTGACAGACTTTAAGCGGGTTACAAAATCACAAACAAAAAATGGCCTTGGTACAATTACAATTGCATATCAATAAACCATCCGCAGTCCCATCCCCTGCAAAATTAAACCACAAATAAAATCATAAAACAATCAACCAAAAAACAATAAAAATTGATGGCAACATCTATAAATCAAGGGCCTTCTTAAACAATTCTGTTTTTAATGATCTCCTGAAGCCTAACAAGGTAGGAGCTGATCAGATTTCATTTTAGCACTCCATCAATTCATAAATGCCTCCCTGCATGAGGGCATGAATGCATTTTTATGGACAGGGATGGGATAGATGTAATAGTATTTATTTATTTATTTGTTTGTGTGATTTCAATAGTGCACGCTTAGCACATGACTCAATAATTATTCAACAGTGAGAGTAATGTAGTTGCAGATACTCATACATCTTTCCTTTACCACTATCCGATATATGCCCCATGTCTGAAACCTGAATGTGAAACAAATTCAGGATAAAGCCTGAGCAGTAATCACTCTGAACAAGAACCGTATTTGGAACTGAGCAAGACTTGAGGGCAATGTTGACCAGATTCATGCTTCATGCAACGCTGTAGTTGGTTTAAACATCGTTTATTGGATAAACCACAACTGGTTGAATTTGCACCACTCACTTAACCACAAAACCATTCACAAATCACAGTGTCTAGGGTCCCATATAAGCCCCAGTGTAGTTGACATACTTCATTTTGATGCCTTCAAGTCAGTGTTGACTCCTGGCGGTTGCCTGGACTATAATTTTCTTGGCAACATTCTTGGAAGTGGTTTGCCCTTGCCTTCTTCTTCCTGGGGCTGAGAGAGAGGGACTGGCCCAAAGTCGCCCAGCTGGCTTCATGCCTAAGGCAGGATTAGAATTCACAGTCTCAGTTTCTAGCCCAGTGCCTTAACCACTACACCAAAGTGGCACTCAGGCCATGCTTTGGGCTTAGCATATTGTTTTGACCTGATCCAGAACAACCCCAGCACTCAAACATGCAGGTCCTTCTGAGTGAGGGAACATGAAGGTTGACAGTGCAGAAGTAGGGAAAAAATAGCAAGAAAACCTTAAGGCAGAAGAACCCCAAACCAGCAGGATGAAAGCTGAGCGGCCCTGGAAGATGGCTGAATGTTGGGGTTGGGTAGGGTGAGAAGACCTGATTGGAGGTAGAACAGAGAGTGCTAATGGAGTCCTTGGCTGAACAACACTTCACTGGCAGTTTTCATCCAGCCATTTTGGAGCTCAGTTTATTTATATATTTAAAACCTTTGTGTGTCTTAAAACCAAACTCTGGATCCCTTATAACCAACCATAAAAACCATATATACAACTAAAACAGCAATAAAACCCAAAAAGGGTTTAAGGGTGAAAACAGGTTGGGCGTGCTTCCCACAAAATTCAGATACTTTGGTTTCTGTCTTCGCCCTCCTGAACCTCATATTTCTAGATCTTAGGATTTAGGAGTGTTTCTCAACCTTGGCAACTTTAAGACGCGTGGACTTCAACTCCCAGAATTCCCCAGCCAACAAACTTGCTGGGGGGTTCT